AATGGAGACTTGAAGGAACAGGAATAAATGCCAGTTATTATTATTAAGGCAACTAGGTGGTACAATGGATAGAGTCCTGGACCTGAAGTCTAGGAGACCTGAATTCAAATGTGACCTCAGATACTTATTAGAAATGTAACCCTGGACAAGTCATTTAGCCTCTGCCTGCCTCAGTTTTCCCATCTGTAAAAATGGGGATAATAATAGCACCTATGTCTCAGGGTTGTTTTCAAGATATAATGAAATAATATTTGTAAAGAGCTTTGCAAACCTTAAAGTGCTATACAAATATACATAAACATACAATACATAAATTTATGTATATTAGTAGTAGTAGTATTAATCACCTTTTACATTCACTAGAGAAGATAAAGTAGCATAAAAATATATGTATACATACATAGATGGGTAGATAGATACATATGACAGATGAGGAAGGATAATATGATCAATGTGCAGCAGAGAATTCTATAAGTCTAGAGGAAGGAATAACCAAGGAAATCTTCAAAGAGAAAGGACTTGAATTGACTCCTGAAGGACATAAACAGTGAGATGGGTGGAAGGGAAAGAGGACATTCCTGACTAAGAGAACATTATGAACCACAGGATTTCAGACCTCAGAAAGAATCGAAGCCAGTCCCCTCATTTTACTGATGAGGAAAAGTTAAGTAATTTGTCCAAGGTCACACAACTAATAAATAGCCAAGTCTAATAAATGAACCCAGTGCCTCTAACTCCAAATCCAGTATGCCTTGCCATTTTATACACTGCTTTTCAAGGGACTAAAGGTACAGGGGTGGGAAGAATGAGCATAGCATCTTCAGGGAATTGTGAATCTGAAGGACAATCTCTACATAACCTAGGAACCCCCTCCTCTCCCTTCCCTGCCCAAGACACAGGAAAGAAATCACAAGGTAGTACTACCAAGTCCCTGCTGCCACCTTCTGAATGGTCTGGGTAAGATACCTAACTAAATGAAACTGATACCACAATGGTACGTGAGAGGAGAGACAGGATCCAAGGTGTTGAGGCCATTGGGAGCTTACTACTCAATAAATCCCACCTGCCAATGAACCAGGCACTGGTACAGGATACAGAATATAGTCTTGACTGCAGATGCCAGCAGAAGGCCCTAAGTGCACCAACTCTCCTTCCCTAAGGTCAAAAGGACAGCCCTGGGCAAGGAACCATAGTAAGGAGTAAAATGGGGATGGGGATGGGGATGGGGGGACGCCTTTGGGGCAACCATCCTGAGACACACATCAGACTACAGAAGCTGCCACAACATTGGTCAGGCCCAGGAGATCTTTTGGCAGGCTTTGCAACCCAGGTGACCTTCAAGCACGGCTGAAATCTGAATCTGAGTGGCCAACACTGGCATCACTGCAGCCGTCACTTACCCTAAGCTTCCAGGCCTTGGGAAAAGATGAACCTATTTTCAAATTGCACGTGGCCAAGTTAGGGAACATTTGTGCGTTATCACAGCCTGTGTCGGGGTCAAGGGGGAGGAGGGAAGGGCAAAGTTTTCATTTAACTCTGCAGTCCTAGCAATAGAAGTCTCACAACCATACTATGAATTAGCTCTCCCAAGGCATGGAAACTGGCCAGGGAGATACTTTCCCATGCTTGAATGGATTCTGCCATTCCCTTCCCTACCCCAATGAGACTGTAGGCTCTTAGAGAACAGATGTTAAGTATGTTAGGCTACTTTGTCCTTCCCTAGAACCTAGCGATGGTGAGAGATGCATGAGCATAATAGCTGGTATTTACATAAGTGTTTTAAGGTCTACAAAGTGCTTTACAAATACCATCTCATTCTACTTTCACTAGGACCTGTGGGAGTAGGTGCTATTATTACTCTGCCCTCTTTGGAGAAGTAATGCCTTCGATTCTGCATTTCAGTTCCATTCTTTAGCCAACCCAGTGCTTAAATGCATGGGCATCCGGTACCCCATAAGAGTACCTTGCTTTTGCTGCTTTGTTCAGTTGTTTCAGTCACATCCCACTCTTCTCGACCCCATTTGGGGTTTTCTTGGCAAAGATACTGGAGTGGTTTGCCATTTCCTTCTCCAGCTCTATTTACAGACAAGGAAACTGACAAACAGGGTTAAGTGACTTGCCCAGGGTCACAGAGCTGGTGTTTGAGGCTGGATTTGAACTCAGGAAGAGGAGTCTTCCTGATTCCAGGCCTGGACATCCTGACTCCATTGAGCCACCTAGCTGCCCCAAAAAGAATACCTTGACAGGCTTACAAATATAGGCTTGTAACTCACTGAGAGTTGTGACCTAGACCTCCAAAGTTAACCTTAGCTGAAAGGCAACAAATACTAAATGATGTCTCCATCCTATTTCACTAAATCATAGGCTTAGAGTTAGAGGAAACTTCAGAGATCATCCACCCCAATGTATACATGAGCAAGAATCCTATGCTTAAGAGGTAGTCACCCAGCCTTCACCACCAACGATGGGAAGCCCTCTACACATCCCAAAGCAGCCCATGTCACTTTCAGAAAATTAGGATTTTTTTTTTTTACCTTTACCTAGAGCCTAAATCTGATTCTCTGTAACTTCTGCTACCTAACTAGTTCTCCCCTATGAGGCCAAACAGAACAGTTTATTCTCTCTTCTACATAACAATTCTTCAAATATTTGAAGATATCCATGCCCCACCAAGAAAATTCTTCTCAACACCGAACATCTCCCAATTCTTTCCATCAGTTCTGGATCAGTTCTACCACACTCCAGATCATCTTCACCTGGAACTGCATCAAAATGTTGACTTCCTTCCTTCTTTCTGCCCTCTACACTAAACCTTCACTCTCAGAGCAAAACCTTTGCCCTACTTACTACATCATCTTGTGAGGATTTCTCCCTATTTGATCTAATAATGCAGAGGCTCTCCATCTACTTTCCTTTAGTATTGGAACCCCCCCCCACACACACACACACACAGGCACAACACACCAGAAGCCCTAGGCTCTAGGGTAGGGTATGAATCCCCACCCCCACCCCCCAGGTCAATGACTGACAAAGAGATTGCATGTTGGGTCCTTCAGGGAAGAAAATGAGATCTGCAAGCCCTAAGACATTCTCTACCTTCTGGTTTCCTAGTTAGATCCACTGCAGACTACTCAGAGAAAAGAATTAAAAGAATCTTTCATATCTATCATCCATTCTACCTTTCTGTAAAAGCAGCGAAAGCATTGGAAAGACAAACTGCCACCAAAGAAATTTCCTTCACTATGTCCAAGCAAAATGAAATCTTGGCCATGAAAAGAAATCACACCTTAGAGTGAAGGGAATCTGCTAAAGAGTCCAAGCCACAAGAAAAACAAAACCAAAAAATCCTTATACAGCACATCTTAAGGACCTGAGTAAATCTATTCTGGGAGAAGACAGATGTTTCTCAGCCTGCAGGATCTGATACAAGACAGTGCCAGAGTTAAGATCAGACCATGAGACAGTTCCACTACAGCAAGCCCAACAAAACCAAAATTCAGCTCTGTTCTTGTCTAAAGACTACAATTGGTACCGGGGAAGAAAAACACTACCACCACCATCAGGGTGCTGCTTCCAGAGATATTAAAAAAAAAAAAAAAAGATAATATTCAGAAAGCCCAGGGGGCCTGGAAGACAGGAAAGAAGTATCAGGACAAGTGAAAACCCAGTCCACACAACTGACAACTGGGGTGAGGATTCACAGATGAAACATGTCAGCATTTCACGCATAGAATCACGAAGGAAAAAAAATGGAACAAAGACAGGTAGAAAGGGCAAAAAGGGCCGGGTTGACAGGAGCAGCGAGGAACAATGTGGGTGAAGAAGAAACGCTTTACTTTTGACTTCTCACATTATTAGACACATAGTAGGAGTAGGCACTTGAATATGAGACAAATTGAAACTTATCTCCCACAGGGAAAGAAATGGAAGCTACTGGCTAGCGACAGAGATGGAATGAAATTGAACAAACTTTGGGCTGAAGATCAATCTCAAGTGAGAAACCTTCTTCCCCCTGTGACTACTAGTAGAAATCCCATCACTGGAGGCACTGACACATTTCCTGGGGCATCACTAGACCTTAAGGAATTTTCACACAGTCTTTACCTACACCTAAAGGGCAATGAACCTGTAAAGAGGATGAAGGAAGGAAGGTGGGGAGGGTCTTTCATCTGAAACAGTGAAACGGCATGACTCTGGGGCCTTAAGACTGAACTCAGAAAACTGTGTTTTTCTCTCCAGGTCAGCAAGTATGGCAGCAGATACACTGCTGATGAAAAAGGCGAGCGCCCACACCAACCCTCCCCAACCTTTTTTCCTTCTTTCTTTTTAATCACTGCACTTGCAAAGGAATAGAAAGGGTCAGGGTAGGTCTTTCAGAGCTTTAAAACTGAGGCGACCCTTGAGAAGTAGCTGGGAGATTTGTCCAAGTCACAGGCACAACTACAGAGGGGGGAAAAGCCCCTGAACCGTACGCTAGGGAAGAAGCAATTTCCTCATTCAGGAAGTATGCATTTCCCTTTTTAAAGTCTTTCCTCCAAGCACCTCTTTTCCATCGGAGCCCCATAGGTAAATAACACTAGAAGCAGTCCCCTGCCCTCACAGCCTAGCAGGTATCTTAGCAGCTAATGGGTCTGATGGTTGGGTCCCAAAGGAAGGGGGCCCTAGAGTAACAACCCACGGTGAGGTGGGGGCGCCTGAGAGGCAGCAATCTGCAGTCTCCCGTTTGCAGGAACTGCCATTCTCAGGAATAGGGTTGGGTGGGAGCCGAAGTGACATCTCTCAAACTTTGCAGCGGAAAGTTCCCAGGCTCAGGGTAGAAGCCAGCCAGTTGTTATTCAGAAAGTCACAACCCTCCCCCCCGCTCCCAACCCCCCGCCCACACACCAGCCTCCCTCCATACCACAGGTGGGCCTCCATAGATTGGTTCTCCCATCACATGCCCCGAGTTCCAGCATCCCAGTCCATACCCCACACCCCCACCACTGCTCCAACCCCCTCACCTTGGCCTCAAAGCAGATGCCATGCTGGAAGGCGTCCTCGTTATGGAGGGGGATCCGCAGGTCGTGCCCATCGTCCACCAGGTTGTACTTGGTTTTGCTGGGCATAGTGACCCCAGCGAGGAGAAGGGGGCTGAAAGGAGAACGAGGCTGTCCCTCTCCTCCGGCGAGGTGGGCTGCAGCAGGATAGGGGGCCGAGGCGAGAGAGAGCTGGGAATACGGGGGGCGCAGCGCCCGGCTCTGGAGCCCTGTAAGCCGCGGGCGCCCCTAGCCCTGCGGCACCGAGCTGCGCTCTGCGCGGAGGCAGCCGAGTCCGGGAGCTGCGCGAGGCGCCGAGTGGCAAGCGGAGCGGGAGCAGGACAAGACGGTGGTGGCGGCGGCCGATCCCAGCGACAGGAGCGGCGGCGCGGGGGCCATGCAATTCCTGCTGGGGAGCAGGAGCTGGAGGACTGGGACAGGGACTAGGGCTGGGGGGAGGAGGAGGAGGAAGAGGAGGAGGAGGAAGAGGAGGACGAGCAGCAGCGACGGCAGCAGCAGGCGGGAGCGGGGTCCGCGCGGAGCCCCCAAGGCTGGGGGAGGGGAGGACACGGACCCACCCCTCCGGCAGCGGGAGCCGGGCGCAGCTCCTGCCCGGGATCGGGGACTGGGACAAGGAAGGCAAGGAGGAGGGGGAGGAGCAGGAACAGGAGGCGGGGGCGGAGGCGGTGGCGCGGGCGCCTGTCACCGAGACGAGACGCGGGATCTGCCACCCAGCCAGGCGAGCCGAGCCGAGCCGAGCTGAGCCGCTCCTCCCGCGCGGGGCGGGCCCCTGGCCGCGGCTCCTCCTGCGGGGGCGGGCTGCCGAGAGCCCGGCGACTCCGCCCCCGCCCCGGGCTCTCCCGGCCAGCGCCGGCCTGGGCTGGGCAGGGTTGGGCAGGTGAAAGTCCCCGCAGACGCTCGGAGCCCGAAACGCGGACTGCCCCGAAGGTCGGATGGGGTGCCCACCGGATCTGGACCGCCCTGAGACCCCGAGAACTTCGCCTTCCCCGCCTGAGCCCGGAGAAAGACAAGAAGAGCTCCGAGAAGGGGCTGGGGTTGGCGTTCGGTGGGGTTTGGTTTGGTTTTCCCACTTTCCTCCAAATGGTGTGCTGGACCTGATTTATAGAAACAGATAGAACGTTTTCTAGATAGGTTGGGGAAGAAGGGGGAACAAGCATTTATTAAGCACCCACTATCTGCCAGGCGCTGTACCAAGAGCTTCGCAAATACTGTATTTGATCCCCACGACAACCCCAGGCGCTGTTATTATCTCTGTTTTTACAGTTGATGAAACCGAGGCTGACAGAGGTTAAGTGATTTGCCCTGGCGTCACACAGCTAGTAAATTTCTGAGGCTAGGTTTTGAGGAGAGGGGGTGAGTGAGAGAGGGAGAAAGAAACGGGGCGGGGAGGGCAGAAGGAGAGGGAGAATGAGATCGAGTGAGAGAGAGGAAGAAGGAGGAGGAAGGAAAGGGAAGGAAGATGAGAGAGGAGGAGGAGGAGGAGAAGATCCCATCTATTATTATATATGATATACAAGGTGTCCCAAAACTCTTAATGCACTTTCAAGCTTGAGTAACATTAGTAGCTGAGGTTATCAGGAAAGATAGCATTTGAAGCTTTAATAGCAGGAAAACCTTTGATTTGATGACTGGTGCTCTGAAGGGAATCACAATTCTCTTCAGGTCTCTGAAAAAAAAAAGATGTCCCTCTTCTTTCTGAAGCTAATGTCTCTAGTTAACCATCCCCTCCAGCTTCCTCTTCCCAAACCTCATCCCATCAATAACCTCTCATTTCTTCCTCTCTGCCTGCTCCTTCTCATGCACTTAGTCCAGATTTCCCTATCCTTGTTTTTATACACACACACACACACACACACACACACACACACACACACACACACACATACCTTGGAGAGGGACAGCATGGTGCCATGGAAAGATATGGACTTAGAAATTACAGGATCCAAGTTCAACCCCTACTCTTACTTATGACCTGTGTAACCTTGAACAAGTAACTTAATTTCTCAGGGCCTTAGTTTCTCCACAAGTAAAATGAGAGATCTGACTAGATCTAAGGTCCTTCCCAGCTCTGAACCTATGATCCTTTCCTACAACATTCTTTCTTGCTCTCAGATCTTTTCTTGACAAATCAGTCTAAAGTGGAAGCCTCTAGCTGCTCCTGAACACTGAGTTGTTTGCCCCTTATGAGCTGGCTTTTCTGACCCACCTCTCTATTCAAACTGCTTTCTCCAATATCAACAACACCTTTCTATTTACAAAGTCCAATGCCTTTTTTCAGCCTTTCACCAGCGCTTCCATTACACAAATGTTTATAAAGCACCAACTATGTATGGTGTATTGTTCTATACTGAGAAATGGACAAAAACAAAGTAACTTCTGCCTTCTAACAATTTACATTTTACAAATGAAACTGAGAACCCCAGAAGTAATGACTTCGCACTTACTAATTGCAGGTGTTTCCCAAGATTCTCACCTTTGATCCTCTCTATATTACAGTCTCCCTTGGTAAACTCGGAGTGTGTGTGGATAAGTGACGAGAATTTACCTCCAGCAAAGACCTCTATCTTTTGAAAGACCCACATTTCCAACTACCTAGTGGACATATGCCCAGAAAGACTCCTCAAACCTAGCAGCATGGTACACTGCATTGGGAGCCAACAGACTCCTGATTCTGCTATCTGCTGCTACTTGGGAGACCTTTGGTAAATCATTTGTCTTCTCTGGGCCTCAGTTGCCTTATCTATAAAATAAGGAGGTTGGACTAGGTCATCTCTAAGGGTCTCTAAATCTGAATATATCCAAAACTATCTTCAACCTATCAAAACCATTTTTCTCTCTATTAATGGCGCCATCCTCTTGAGCAGGTTCAGGTTTCAATCAATGAATACAAATTTACTAAGCCTCTAAAACAGCCCCTACCCTCAATGGGAGGGATTATTTCAATGGGGGGGTATTTTTATTTCAAGGCGGGGAATATATATGTAAATATATGTGTAAATGCATATATGTACATGTATTTATTCATCTATATGAATACATCCATGTAAATACAAATTATATACAATTAAAAGAAGTTAGATCTTCATTTGAAAATAAAATGAAATTTAATTTAAAACCCAAACTCCAAAGAGTTTTTTGGTTTTGTATAAAGTAATTTCTTTATTTTTACTTTATATTTACATTTTAAACTACTATCTATTACATATGATACATTGTTTAAAATATATTACTTTATAATTTACTTTGTAAAATAACTTAAAGGGCAGAGTACTGGTTGGTCAGTTGTTGTCCTTCATTCTCGAAGAGGACCAAATGACATTACTATGCTAGAATCAAGTTTTAGTGTGCCCGAATGTGACTGATCAGACCAAAAAGAGCTCGGAATGTTCTACCACAGGTTGGGCACAAATAGTCCATGTGAACATTTGGGGTGGATTTTCTAAGTTTTCATCCTGCATTTGTCTTGAGCTATTTCAATTCTGCTCTGCTCATAGAGCACAGCACCTTCTCTGATGTGGGCATGTCATGCTGGATGGTCCTGTGCCAGTGTCTCCCATGTCACACAATCAATTCCAAAGTTCTTAAGAGAGATCTTGAGAGTATTCTTGTATCATTTATTCTGACCACCATGTGAACTTTTGCCCTATACAAGTTCTCCATAAAATAGTCTTTTTGGCAAGTATACGTTTTGCATTCGAACAATGTGGCCAGCCCATTGGATAGCTGAGGTTATCCGGAAGGACCACATTTGTTCTTTTTCAGTCATGCCCTATTCTTTGAGACCCTACTTGGAGTTTTCTTGGCAGGGATACCATAGTGGTTTGCCATTTCCTTCTCTGGCTCATTTTACAGATGAGGAAACTGCAGCAAACAGGGTTAAGTGACTTGCCCAAGGTCACAAAACTAGTCAGTGTCTGAGGCTGGATTTGAACTCAGGAAGTCTTCTTGATTCCAGGCTCAGTGCTCTATCCATTACGGCACCACCTAGCTGCCCTAGCTATATAGGAGGTGGCAATTGAACTTGTTTGTCCTTCCGTCCTTCTCAAAGAAGATCATGACCTCAGGAAGATGAAGCCAAGACTTGCAAGTGAATTGGATTTAAGCAAGGGAAGGCTATGCAAAGTCACCAATCTCACTTTCTCCTCCTAGCCATCTGGGTCCAGTGGCAAGATATAAATCAGGATGACTAGAGATGGCCCTGAGGCAATTGAACTAAACTTGAAAGAAGCTAGGGCTTTTAAGAAGAGGAGGTAAAAAAGGACTAACACATTCAAGACATGTAGCTTTGCAAAGGTGCAGAGATAGGAAATGGAATGTTGGGTAGTAGGCCAATACCCAACAGGCCATTTTGTCTGCAAAGCAGCATGTCTGAAAGATAATATGTATAAGAAGGGAGGGTAGGCTAAGTGCCAGATACATGATGAAGGGCACCAAATGCAAAGAGGAACTTGGATTTTAACCTAGAGACAATAAGGAACCATAGGAGCTTTTTTTTTCTTTAAAGCATGAGAGAGATCTGGTCAGACCTGTGCTTTAGGAATGTTGATTTGGCAATTGTGTAAAGAACAGATTGGAGAGAGGAGAGAGTTGAAGTGGGGAAATCAATTAGGATACTTTTGGAAAAGTTCAGGCAAGAGGACTTGAAGCCCTGATCAAAGGAGATGGCTCCATGAGTTGGGGGGGGGGGGCATGGAAAGGTACAGGTGGGAAAAAATGATGTTGAGGTAAAATGAACAAGGACTGGCAACTGATTAGATCGATGGGGTGAGGAATGAAAGAAGACTTTGAGGTTTGGAACCTGGGTCACTGGAAGGATGATGGCACCCTCAACCAAAATAGGGAAATTTGGATGAAGGGTGAGTTTGGAGGGAAAAACAATGAATTTTGTTTTGGACATGTTGTATTTAAGACATCTATGAGATGCTCAGTTGGAAATATCTAATAGATGGTTTGTATCCCTATGGCTTAGCCCAGTTCCTGGCATGTAGTAAGTACTTAATAAATGCTTACTCACTGACTGATGTGGGACTGAAGTTTAGGAAAGAGGCTAGAGTTGGATACATAGATACACATGTTTAGGATTTATCTGCATAGAGATGATAAATGAACTCACAGAAGCTGATGCAATCAACAAGGATGTGGAAAGAGAAGAAAGAGTAGGACACATACTTGGAGTACACCTACACTTAGAAGATGGGTGCTAATATAAAGGATACTGCAGAGGAAAG